TGATGCCACCTTGGACACCATAGTTGAATGGTGTGGCTAAGAGGCACAATCAAACCTTATTGGGCATGGTTCATTCCATGATGAGTCAAGCTTCGTTAACTATCACACTTTGGGGGTATGCATTAGAGAATGCCGTCCATATCCTTAATCTAGTCCCAAATAAGAAGGTTGCCAAAACACCTCACGAGATGTGGACATGGAAATATCCCTCGTTGGCACATATCAAGGTTTATGTTTTCGAGGCTTTCGTAATACAAGAGATTCAGTCCATGTATGAAAATCAAGTTTGGAACTTGGTTGAGAATGTGCCAGGTCATAAGATGTTCGAGTACGAATGGATCTTCAAGAAGAAAACCAATAAGGATATAAGGCACGATTGGTTGCGAAGGGCTTTACTCAAATTCCCAGAGTTGACTATGATGAGACCTTCTCACCAGTAACGAAGATTAAGTCTATAAGGGTTATGCTAGCCATAGCTGTGTTTCATGATTTTGAATTATGGCAGATGGATGTCAAAACTGCTTTCCTTAATGGGAAGTTGTATAAATATGTTTACATGAGTTAGCCAGAGGGTTTTGTCGATGCAAAGTACCCTAATAGTTAGCTTTCTCGTTCAGTATGTGGATGCCATACTGCTCATAGGAAATGACGTCCCAACCTTGCAAGAGGTTAAGTCCTGTCTTGGGAAGTTCTTCGATATGAAGGACCTCAGAGAAGCTGCTTATATTCTAGGGATAATGATATTTAGAAATAGGAGTAAAAGACTAATAGGACTTAGTCAATGTACTTACTTGGATAAAGTGTTGAAACGTTTCAGCATGGAAAATTCCAAGAAAGGGCAGTTACCAATCCAAAGCAATACCAAGTTGATTAAGACTCAAAGCCCAAGTACCGAATCTAAAATAGCAAAGATGAGTTATGTACCTTATGCTTCCGTTGTTGGCTCGATCATGTATGCTATGATGTTTACTCGCCCTGATGTGGCCTTTGTTTTGACCATGGTCAGTACATATATCAAGGGAACCCTAGTAGAGCACATTGGACCGCAATAATAAACATTCTCAAGTACCTATGAAGGACTAAGGAATGGTTCCTAACCCACAGTAGGAGTGATGACTTGAGAGTGCGACGGTATAGTGATGCTAGTTTTTAGACCGACCAATATAAATCCGCTAACAGTCGGGCTAGGTCTTTACCCTGATTGGATGGTGGTTATCGAGGCCAATAAAATGAATACCCTAAATATTACACACTAAATAGTGTATAGTGGTAAATGGGTCGACTCCACAAAGATTGGTTCCATTTAAATGTCTTTGTAAATCACTTGTTCAAGTACTTGTAAAACAAAAGAGAAAGTAAAATGGGGAGGGTGTTAATTCTTTTTTAATTGTTTGACAAAATTAAAACTATCTAGAATGTAAATATGACAAGTAAACAAGTAAAATATTTGATTAAACTCAATGAACTGAAATTGGATGATTTTGGGATACACCACATGGATGACATAGTGGACTAATCATTAGACTAAAAGGAACAACACTTGTGAATTGGTTTAACTTGGCTATAGCAATTCATAAGCACAAATTACCTCAACTCTTCATAGATATTAAAATAGTTGGAGGAGCTCTAACACATTCCCTTAATTAAAGTTACAAAATCAATGAGGCATATAATCTTGTGAAAATCAATTAGCTTTGAGTCGTATGAGTTACCAAGTCCATAAGATAATCAAATGCTTACAGTATCATTATGGAGGAAATATTTCCATGGTCTAATGAGATGAAAACAAACATATAAACCATTTGTTGCTTACTAATTTGAGGGTCTATTACTTAACCAAGAAATTAGTCAAAAAAAAAGCATTCATTCATTTAAGCTCATGATCAAAGAAAAATAAACACAACAAGATGTTTAACTAGAAAACATATCCATAAAATTCAAACAAAAGACAATAATAACTCTTCAAAGCAACTAATCATCCATGGAGTAAGCCCTAATCAAACAAATGGAAATCTAGCCAAGCATAGCTAAGATAAGAGAAATACAAGGTAGTTTAGAAATACCAAACATTGTTCTAAGTGCAAGAGGGAAAGAAATAACACTAGTCTTCAAAATATCAAGTCTTCCAAAGCCTTCTTGAGAGAAAGTGAGTGGTTCTTGAGAGTGTTAATGATGAATAATGCTTCAAACCCCCCATCAAAAAGTGTTTAATCCCTGATTCAAAAGCTCCCCAAAAGCCATCCACCACCCTTCCAAAAATAGGGTCAAAGAGTTAAAGTTCGAAATCATTTTTGCACGATCCACACAGATCGTTTGAGGATCCACGCAGACTACATGGGTGTCGTAGATTGTGGGACTTAGTCCATTTAAAATATATTCCGGCCCAATCTTTTGATTCACACTTCAGCCCACATGCATAACTCTTGGGAGCCTAATTGTGCTATTCCAAAGCCTCCAATGATGGTCCAATGCTCCCTTTGTCATCCATAGCTCGAGTCCTCAAACAAAGATTAAATCCAACACACTTCTTGCTTATATTGACATCGAGCCCAATTGCACCACCTGATGTTCACAAGAAATCCAAAAGCCTCCAATTGTCCTGCACTCCTTCCATATCTCATGTAACAAAGAGTGTCCGGTAAATCCTGCAAAATATGCTTAATTGACTGGAAAGCACCCGGTAAAGGAGAAAAATAACAAAAAGAGAAAATATGCATGAAGATTAACTAGAATGAGATGGTTTTAACTAGAAATAAACTATGAAAGGAAGTAATAAAAACAAAACTATAAAATCACCCCAAGCTTGAACTTTGCTTTTCTGCAAGTAAGACAGTACTAAAATGAACTTAGGTTGAACTATCCTAAAAAGAAAAATGAATGAACATATTAGGTGGAAATTCACAAAACACCCTCAACATAAAAACATATAATCTATTTTTAGGGGTAAGAATCACATTGAGGGAGGAGATTTTGTTACCTTTCTAGCAAGGGATACATGCTAATTAAGATGCAAAAGAAGCATGCATACTTCACTACTATGGTTTATGTGACATTGCTTCGTGGTCCGATCTATCCCACTAGCCATAAGAAAGTGTCCCTCGGTTAGAATGTTCCTCACTCCTCACAAATTCAACCCCATGCCATGAAATAAAACCTGGAAAAAGATAACTCGGGCAAAAAATGGCAAGGAATGAGCTATATACAATGGTTGGCAAACCACCACCATCTAGAAGAATAAGTGCTTCCACCAAAATAAGATCATGTAGAGTGAAGAGTTGAGCACATGGTGAGTAGAGCGCGCCATCATAGTTGCCAACAAAAGATGGAATCTAACTAGAAAAACATTAACTAGACACAAATTACATGAGCTAAAACCCAGAAAAGAAGTAAACATCGACAAAATCAAAGAAATGGATATAACTCCATGGCCTGACCTTTTTTTCTTTATATATATATATATATATATATATATATATATATATATAGGCTCACTTTTTTGGTTTACCACATGAGATTTACAAGAATAGTCTGAAAATAAAATTAAAAAACATAACTATATATAACTATAAGAGGAATCTAAGTCTAAACCAAACAAGAGGCCAAACCAGCACAACTACACAAAGGCTAATTCGATATCAAGTGGGAAAATGTCTCCGAATCATAAAGTAATGAGATATGATATGAATTCTAGCAGTTGGACACTAAAGATCTCAAAATAGCACAATCTAGTTTTTATTCCGCTCTTTGGGGTTTGATTGTGGCTTGCGTGGAAAATGCAAGTGAGGGACTAGTCGGCACGAGGCTAGGTTGTCCCCCTACTTATGCCATACTTGCCATAAGTCGATTCATATGCATAACTACTTGCACTCTCTCGCCACGTATATGTAAGAGAAGAAGCAACAACTGAAAGTCCTTAAGAGCAATTCTTATTTGTTAAGTGATTTTCCAAAAGAATTATATTTAAGGTGTGTCGTGCATTTCAAGTAAAAATATTCGTAGATGAGAATACAGAGATACAAAAGTGCATGAATTTTTATGCCCTAAGCTAAATGCCATGCAAAAATAAAAATTGAAATAGAAGAAAAAAAAATCTTTTTGGAGTTTTATACAAAAAATGTAATTTAAGGCTAAAATGCTATGCAACCTAATTAAAATTCACGAGAAATCAAAAAGAAAAGGGAAACTACCCCACTCCAAGCTTAGAAATAAGCATTGTCGTTAATGCTCGGGGCGAGCAGAAAGTACCTAAACCAAGGGATTTGGAGGAGGATATGGGTATTGCGGGTAAAGATAGGGTAAGGTGGAGGTGGATAAGGGTGAGAGGGTAGAGGGTATGGATAGGGAGGAGGAAGTGGTATGTTCTCAAAGTGGTTTTGTGATTGGTACCACCCTCACATACGATGCATCTGATGAGACATGATTTGTTTAGCGATAAAATAAGCCTCAAATCGATCGGAAAAATTAGGGGGAAGCGGGTAATATCCGGGAGGTGCTTGGGGCTAGGATTGTTGTCCACCATGGATGGGCTCATCGATGGGATCGTCATCCACATGCATCTCATTATCATCTTGAGTCTGGAGCAAATCCTCATTGACTGACTGAATGATGGTCCTCACTAGTCTCCACTGAGTGCGGTCGTGGAAATAAGCATTGTCCTAAAACTGCTCTTGTTCCTATGATGGATGTGATGCATATTTTTGAGGACCCGCTCATCCACGAGAATATTGTTGTCGATGGGTGTATAGTCATCTTGAATTTCAACGTCAAGACTGCGGGCTAAAAGTGTGACAAATCGTCCAATGCAAATATCACTATTTGTTTTGGTTTTCATGAGCGCACATTTGTGGAAGAAGAACAAGGCAAAATCCAGGATCGGTGGGTTTTCATGTCCCATCATGTACCAAAGGAAAAAGAGCTCATTTTTTGTGACTTGGACGCCTTCTTTACGGGTAAAAACAGTGCACACCTAGATACGATGGGAAATGTGGAGGCACGGGTGAATGATGGAGGTTTCTTTATCGAGACCGGCACATGAAAAGATCCCCACAATGATTTCTGTCCAAAAAGTCTCGTGGTTGATATCGACAAGCAAGGCATCGAAAACTGTGAATGTGTTCGAGGAAGGTAAGCCCAAGATGTTATTTATCATTGCAAAATCAATCTACGACCGTTCCCCCTTAAGTTGGAATGCAACCTTTTTTCTCTCGCTGTCGAACCCGCAGTCGGCAAGGAAATCTCTAGTAGGGAGCTCATAAGTGTGTGGCATGATTTTTGAAGGTTTTCCCACCTGATGTTACGGAAAAATTGAGTGACCCACTCAAGAACCCCTAATGAAATGAGCGTGGGTTAGCACACAAATTTGGTGGAGGAAACCTTCCTAAGGAAACATTTCTTGTAATTTTCAGTCACCTTTGCATCCCGAAACCTTGGAATGTCGTGTTCATCATTTTGAGCTCTAGCGGGGGTTTGCCTCGGGTGGCAGCCGATCTTTTTTTTTTTTGATGTGGACATGATCAACCTGTAACAAAACTAACATTACACGAACCGCAATCCCAAAAATTGATATTTCAATCCAAATCACCAATAGACTCCCTATGGACCTCTAAAACAATTCAACAATCAATGCAAGAAACATTTCCTAGACTCGATATATGCAATACCATATAAATTGTTTTTCTAAAACATGCATATTGGTGATCATCGTTTTTGAAAGTTGAAAATTTACGCGTGGAAATTCGGGATTTGAAAATCTTGCAACAGTCCACCCCAATCTTAAAGCTTTGCTTAATACTCCGTGAGAAGCACTTTACCGCTAAAACTTGAGTAATCCAGCAACGGCTTGAGATTATGACAAAATTTTCCGGCGAGCTTTGAGGGATATTTTTCGTGGGGTTTGTAGCCTTACCCAAGAGGAGCACAATGGTGGTGTCGGAATCGCGAAAGGTGGCATAAGTTGGCTGGAAAATGGATGGAAAGTGGCAAGATGGTGGTGGTGGCGCCTAAATTTACAGCAACAGATTGGACCAGATTTTGGTTGGTTTGTAGAGCTCAGAAAATGGGAGAGAATGGCGGTGGTTTCACAAAATTACGACCGGCGGTTTGATGGGAAATTGTGTTTTAGTGATGGAGATGGAGGTTGTTTTAATGGAGTTTAGGGAAGAGAAATATAAGAAGTGAGGCAGAAGAGGGCCGAATCAACTTGTGCTTAGTTTAATTCGTGGTCAAAGTTGGTCAAAACACAGGTCAAGGAAAGTCAACACCCCATGCGGACAGTTTTGCAAGTACAAACGGTCCGTGTGGATTGCCCTGGAATTGTTCTGCTTTTGATATTTTCATGTGGTCTCCTTTCCAAATACACGCGGACTGTTTGTATAAACACGCAGACGTTTTTGCGATGACACGCAGTCCTCTTAAAATGTTTTGTAAACCCCTAAATTTGAAGATGCACGCGAACATTTTTGGAAACCACACGCGGACCATTTTTTTATTAACGAGGACACACCCCAGAGTACATGCGGACCGCGTGTGTCCTGCTGCAACTTCTCAATTTCTCCCTTTGACCAAAATGAATATCGAGGCTTAAAACCCAACACTCTTTTACAGCAGGAAGGAAGAAAAACAAATGTCAAATTCAAAAGGATTTATCTAAGACATTTATTCGGAATTAGAAAAGATGAAAACTTTAAGTTTTCCAAAAATGCCCTTGTTTAACGTCTTTGGCGACACATCCTTCCCTTTCAATTTCAGTATACCTAACAGCCAATTGGATGACATCCAGGATATTGCACTAAAACGTTCATAGAAAGGTTTCAAACGATGCCCTATGACTTTAAATATTTTCCCCGTTTCTTCACTTTGGATCTCAACCGCTCCATGGTCAAATAATTTTAGCACAATAAATGGACCTATCCATCATGAGGTCAGTTTTCCGGGAAATAACTTCACTCATGAATGGTAAAGCAAAACCCTATGCCTCGGCTCAAAATGCTTGCGGGTAATGGACTTATCATGGAAAAGCTTTGTTTTTTCCTTGTAAATTCTCGAGTTTTCATAAGAGTTATTTTTCAATTCTTCTAACTCTTGAAGTTGAAGCTTCCTTTGCTTTCCCACCTCATCAATGTTGAAGTTGCATTGCTTGACCATTGAAAATGCACCGTGCTCTAGTTCTACAGGAAGATGATATGGTTTTCCAAATACCAACCTAAATGGGAACATTCCTATCGGGGTCTTGTACGCAATTCGATATGCCCACAAGGCATCATCAAGCCTTGAACTCCAATCTTTTCTTGTAGGATTTACCATTTTCTCAAGAATAGACTTCACTTCACGATTCGAAACTTCCGCTTGACCATTCGTTTGAGGGTGGTAGGCACTAGAGACATGATGGGTTACATTGTACTTTCGTAGCAAGGCATCCATCATCTTATTGCAAAAATGCGTACCTCGATCACTAATCAAAGCCATAGGCACACCAAATCTTACAAAGACATTAGATTTTAAAAATTCGATAAAAGTTTTGGCATCATTTGATCTTGTGGCTTTGGCCTCAATGCACTTAGAAATATATGCAACTACGAGTAAGATATAAACGTTGCCAAATGAGACGAGAAATGGGCCGATAAAATAAATCCCCCATACGTCAAAAACTTCACAAATAAGGATTGGATTTTGTGGCATTTGGTTCTTTTGTGAAATGTTCCCTGTCCTTTGGCACCGTTCATAACTTTTTCAAAACAAGTAACAATCGTGTGACATAGTTGGCCAAAATAGTCCACTCTCAAGGACCTTCCTCAAGGTATGGCTCGGTCCAAAGTGTCCCCTACAAGAAAATTCATGACAAAATTGCAAAATGGATTGATGTTCTTATTGGGGAACACATTGCCTAATGAGTTGATCGGGACAATGTTTCCACAAATAAGGTTCATCTCACACGTAATACTTTGCATCACTTTTTAATTTGTCTTTTTGAGCACCCATGAATGTGTGGGGATACCTTTTTGTAACCAAGAAGTTAAAGATATTGGAATACAAATGAGTAGATTGAGTAAGGGAAAAGAGATGCTCATCCGGAAACTCGTCCCACAACGTGAGATGAGATTCATTTGAAGTGATCCGACTTAGATGATTGGTAACAAGATTCTCGCATCCACTGTGGTCCTGAATTTCCAAATCAAATTCTTGCAATAATAAGATTCACCAGATGAGTCTTGGCTTTGCGTCTTTCTTTGTCATCAAGTACTTGAGATCCGCGAGATCCGAATACACTATGACCTTGGTACCGAGTAGGTGTTGTCTAAACTTCTCCAAAGTGAACACTATGGCCAATAGCTCATTCTCTGTGGTAGAGTAGTTTCTTTGAGTGTTGTCTAGTTTTCATGATGCATAGTAGTTCACATGGGAGATTTTTCCATTCTTTTGACTAATAACGGCACCTATAGCATAGTTGCTTGCATCACACATGATCTCGAAGGGGAGATCCCAATTTGGTGCTTGCTTGATAGGAGCGGATGTAAGGAGCTCTTTGAGCTTGTCGAAAGCGTCTTTTCACGGCTCATTGAATTCGAAATCTACATCCTTTTGCAAGAGTTGGCACATTGGTCTTCTTATCTTTGAAAAGTCCTTGATGAATCACCGGTAGAAACATGTATGGACCAAAAAAGAACGAACCACGAACACAAGTCGGGTAAGGTAAGATTTAAATAACATTTATTTTAGCCTTATCTACCTTAATTCCTTTCTTTGACACAATGTGATCGAAGATCAGACCTTGACTCACCGTAAAATGACATTTCTCATAATTTAAAACCAAATTTGTTTCAATTCATCTTTTTAAAATCTTGGTGATATTGGTCAAACATTATTGAAAGGAGTTGCCATATACCCTAAAATCATCCATAAACACCTCAAATTATGTTTTCAACATATTCTAAAAAGATGCTAACCATGAAACGGTGGAAAGTGGCTGGGGCATTACACAATCTGAATGGTATTCTCCAGTATGCAAAAGTGCCAAATGGACATGTAAATGTTGTCTTTTCTTGGTATTCCGGTGCCATCGGCATTTGCTGAAAAGCATAATACCCGTCGAGACAACAATAGTGAGATTTTGCGGCCAACCTTTCTAGCATTTGCTCAATGTAAGGCAATGCAAAATGATATTTTCTTGTGCTTGCATTGAGTTTGTGGTAGTCAATACATACTCTCCACCCGTTTTGGACATAGGTGGGGACCATCATATCTTTATTGTTCTCGACCACCGTGATTCCCATCTTCTTTGGAGTGACTTGCACCAGGCTTACCTATTTGCTATCCAAGATTTGATAGATCATTCCCGTATTAAGGAGATTCAAAATCTCTTTCTTGATCACCTCCATCATTGGTGGATTATCTCCTTTGTGCGTCCTAGCTTGGCTTGCATTTATCCTTCATCAAGATCTTGTGCATACAAGTGGAGGGGCTCAATCCCTTGATATCCATAATCGTCCATCCCATGGCTTCCTTGTGATCCTTTAACACCATGAGGAGTTGGTCTTCTTCCAATTCAGTTAAGTGAGTTGAAATGATGACCGCAAGAGTCTTGTTGTTTCCCAAGTAATCGTACTTCAAGTGTTGAGGTAGGGCTTTCAATTCTAGTTCCGGTGGCTGAACAAGGGAGGGTGGTAATCTTACGTGGGTTTGAGGTAATTCAATTTGCTTCACACTAAATTGAGTGGTTTTCTTGATATCTAAATTGTTAACCAATCTTTCAACTTTAGGGTCTAGTGAGTAGAGCTTCAACTTCTTAGCTAATTTTCCACAATCAAATCCTTTACTCAAAATCATCTCCAACATGTCGCTATTAGACAATTCAAACAATTCTTGGGTCAATGGTTCAACAACATCAACAAAACATAAGGATGAAACATCACTAGGATATCTCATAGCATCATAAATGATAAAACTTATTATTTCACCATCAAACTCCATCGTTAAGCTTCCCGCATACACATGAATATTTGTTCTAGATGTCTTCAAAAATGGTATCCGAAGTAAAATTATACCAGACTTGGAGGACACTTGTTCTTCTAAATCAATCACATAGAAAACCGCCAGGAAGACCAATTGGTTGACTTGTACCAAAACATCTTCTAAAACACCTCCGGGAAAGACACTTGAAACCCTAGAAGGATCACCAGCCAATTTTGAGCCTCCTCCTGTCTCTCTAACATTCTCTAATTGCTTTCGGTGTTTGTGATTCATTAGAGGTATTACATTTGTGATATTAAGCTCTTAAAGTCAAGGATCTTCAAGCTACAATTGAATGGTAACATTCTTACTTGTTTAACTATGTTGATTTCGATTTCTCTATGATAGATTTAGGGTTTACAAGCTTTGTTTGATTATTACATGTATAATTAGGAAAACCTAGATCCAAAGCTATAGTGTTTGCATGTACACCATAGGATTGTTGTTTTGCTCATAACCCAACATATGCTTCCTAAGACCGAGAACCCATGAGATCTAATCATCAGAACCCACCATTTTTCTTTAACAAAGAACACCACCAAACATGTGGAATGAAGTACTCAAAACACATTGATCGTGAACTTTAACCAATTTACAATTTCAAATCCATAAGATGTACAAAATATAAGCCCCTAACTCACTGAGATTCCATTAACAACCACTGCTCCTATAAGCAAAGATGATCAATCCAAAAATTTTCAGATTGCATCCAACCCTTATTAGTTCACTATATCCAAAATAGCTGGTTCACGAGTCTTCCAACATCCAACAATGTACCAACACTAAAAGTTCCACATGTAGATGAAATAAACAATCACAATCACTGGGCCAACATACACCATTCATGACAATATCTAATGAACTTACCATTGTACATTGTAACACCCGTTTATTTGTTAAATAAGTAAATAAACTAATGAAACACTCGTAGCCCTAAAATAAATAATTATGTATAAAAGGATGGTCTCATAGAGTTAATTGTCACACTTTAAGAGATTTGGGGTTAAAAGTGTAAAATCCGAACTTAAGTTGTAAAGGATTTACATGGATGAGGTTTAAATGGTAAATTATGGCCTAATATTGAAAGGGACTCAGATGGGAGGGGCTTATTGTGCCATTATGGAAAAGTTATGATAGAGGCGGGTGTTAA